CTTTCCCATAATTGACCTCAAGTGGTACCTGCGTGAGAGCTCTCCCTTCTGTCCTCCCAACTCTATTTTAGTGAGGCTTCCCTTTACTTATTCTCACAATATGCAGCCCTGGGACCCTGCATGGGGTCTCTAATACACCACTAAAAGAACCAAAGCTTGGTGAAAAGTAGCTAATTCCGTACCTTGTTGCCTGAAATACCTTATTCCTGGAAAGCACGATGCTTTCAGACCACCTGGTGGCACTGAGAACACAGAAACAAGCTCAAAGGATCGTCAGCTGCCCGAGATGTTACGATTTGAACACTGAAGAGGAAACAATCATTATATTTCATTGGAACAAATCTGAGAAAAATCATGAGCCTGTAATGGTATCCAGAAGGGGGAAGGCATCAGATGAACTAGAAGGAGATTTCAAGTCATGAAAAAGATGATTACGTAGGATATATTCATGATGATCACGTTATCGATATTAATTGTATTGAAATATAGTCGACAATATTGTAACAACTTTGTGGTGATGGATGGTAACTCTGCTCTTACTGTTGTGACCATAATGTATAAAAATGGAGACTCACTACATTGTACACCTGAAACTAATACAATATTGCAAATCAACTATATTTCAATTAAAAAAGTGAACTTTAGCTTACATTGGTGATGCTTTCCACTGGCTGAAATACAGTAACTGTGGCACAAAGCAGCACCGTACCCTGAGAACTGTGCAGTCTGCCGCAATTAGGACAGGCTACACCTTAGAATCACCTGGGAAACGAAAAAACCCTTACGAGCAGACCCCCACTCCCACCCCCGCCTGCCCAGACCAAGTGAATCAGTGTGGAGTGGGTGGGGCAGCACCCTGTGAGCCTAACATGTCCCCGGGGGATTTCAAAGGCACGCCCCCTTTCCAAGGGGCGCAGCTGCATAGGCCCCTCGGAGCGTGGGAGCAGGGCCGGCAAACTAGGGCCTTGTTCCAAATCTGGCCACCAGAGGAGCTGAGATGGTTTTTACACTTCTCAGTGGTTGGCGGAAAATATCAAAAAAAAAGAGGAATAATACCTTGGGACGCATGAAAAGTACATGAAATTCAAACATCAGTCTCCATAAGTAACATTTTCTTGGAACATAGCCACAATCCTGCGTTTACCTACTGTCTCTGGCGGCTTTGGGGGTGTAGGGCAGAGTCAAATATATGGCTGCAAAGCCTAAAACATCTACTCTCCGACCCTTTGCAGAGCTTGCTGACCCCAGCTTGAAGGGAGCGGGTCTCCAGAGCCCAGCGCCCCTGTGTTGTCTTCCAAGAACTTACCCATCTGGGAAGGTGCCAGAGATCGAGGGTCAGGTGCGGGGAGACCCTCCTGCTTTCCCACCTCCTCTTCCCACCTGCCCTTCTCTCACTTTCAAAAGAGAGCGAGGCCTCTCACCAGCCCCGAGGCATAAAAACCTCCTAAGCAAAGGAGCAATTCCAAATATCCGAGTCTAGTAAGATTCCGATGACACGTTTTCAAGTCAGGAGGGTTCCAAATATTGCTTTACCAAAACTGAAAAGGACTCCATCAAGTTTCCAGCTGCCAAATCATTAAAAATATTTGGTGACAGATGGCTATGTGATTTTAGGCACATAACTCAGAAGGTGTTCAAAGAATTGAGTAACATGGTTATGACAGAGCTAGTGACATAATTATGTAAACAAGGTTTTGTGAGTTTTACAGCTGAAATATTTAAAATGCTGAATGTCCCATTCTGTGAATAAGCAGTTTTTGTCCACAGATACATGAACTCAGTTGGAGGAAAAGCCATGCATCTCATTAAGAAGTGAAGTTCAAGGGCTTCCCTGGTGGTGCAGTGGTTAAGAATCCGCCTGCCAATGCAGGGGACACAGGTTCGATCCCTGGTCCGGGAAGATGCCACATGCCGCGGAGCAACTAAGCCCGTGCGCCACAACTACTGAGCCTGAGCTCTACAGCCTGCGAGCCACAACTACTGAAGCCCACGTGCCACAACTGCTGAAGCCCGCACACCTACAACCCGTGCTCCGCAACAAGAGAAGCCACCACAATGAGAAGCCCGTGCACTGCAACCAAGAGTAGCCCCCGCTTGATAGAACTAGAGAAAGCCCGCGTGCAGCAGTGAAGACCCAACGCAGCCATAAATAAATAAATATAAATAAATAAATGTGAAAAAAAAACCCAAATTGTTAAAAAAAAAAAGTGAAGTTCAAATAACAGTTTGTTATTATGTTTAATGAGGACTTGCCAAAACTTGCGTTATAGTTGCATTTTTTTTTTTTTTTTTTTTTTTTTTTTTTTT